TCTGATACCACGCTGTCCATTTCTGGCTTGTGCAGTGAATATTCATAAACCTGCCTGGCATCACTGTTGTGAACATTCTGCGCCCCATCTAGTATTCCTGCCAATTTCCCGCCCAAGTTTATAAAGAAGATCAGCTGCGTCGTACTGGCGCAGTGATCATTCTGCGCTCTGACCGGATCCACCAATGTTTACACCCGCCTGTCTCAGTATAAAATGTCCTTCCTTTTACGGATGCTGTGAATATTCTCAGCCCGTCTTGGCACACCGGCCATACACGCACGCTTGCCTACAATTAGTAGATTCTTATATCAAGCGAATTCTAACTGCTGCGGTCAACATTCTACGCCCCATCTCGTATTCCCCCTATTTTCCTCAAGTGGCTTAAATATAAAATCTTCTTATTTCTGTCTGCCTCCTCTTTTTCGATTGAATGTTGTCATCCGAGCTTGGCACGACCGCCATTCACCCGTGCCTTCTTTTAACGTCTAATTATCGATCCCAAACTGCCTCGTACTGCTGCCGTGATCATACTACGCCCTGCCTGGTTGTGATGGTGACGCGAACGGTGACGCACTCAGTGCCCAGCGCTGAAAGTGCACCCCAGTTGAACCCTGCCGGCAGACCGGCCGCGTACGCCGTGAGCTCACGTGACGCCCACCTTCGCATTCATTGCAATGTTCCAGAACGTCTCGCAGCGTAGGAAACCACGTCAGAACTACCCCTCTCGTCCGGTTGGCCAGGTACTGTCTAGAAGGACCAGCGCCTTATAATAGGCTGTACTGGATACGCCTGAATATAGACTCTTATGATCAGCACCGGCTTTGTCTCCTTCTACCTATTAGTCCTGGGGACATATCAACTGGCGACGCAGCCGAACACAAAGCATGATCAGCCAAGAACAGATGACAGAAATGCTGGACGCTCCCGCGTGCTCGTGGCACTTATCAAGGAAATGCAGGGAAATTGGAGGCCAGTCTCCACAGACAACAAAAGAAAGCAGATTGAGGACCGGATAACTAAATTCACATACGACCCGAACAGCGGTGTGAATTTCGAGGCCTGGTTCCAGAAATATGAAGAACT